TATAATCATATATGCTCATATACGAAAAATGTCCATATATAAGATACCATGTGTATCATATATGATCGTATATGATAATGTGTTTGTCATATATGACAGTATATATGACAAATACATTATCATATACGATCATATATAATACACATGTTTGTCATATATGACAGTATATATGACAAACATATTATCATATACGATTATATATGATACACATGGTATCTTATATATGGAAATTTTTCGTATATGAGCATATATGATTATATATGATCATATGTGAAAATTTTTTCCCGGGGACTATGCTCAGAAAATCGAGTTTTGGACCCTTTACAATATTTTCCCCCTTATAATCATCTTTGTATATCATTCTTGGATAGTTTAGGGAGTGTTTAAGCCAATTAAAAAAAACGTGCCAAAAAAAGTTACAAGGTGATTGTTATAGAGAGGTTTGATTGGAGAGGTTGGCAGCACCGCGCAGGCACGCAGGCAGCCGGCAGGCTGATGTGTGTGAACTCACTGTAACGCACGTACTAATAAATAGCTCTTCTGATATAAAATAGATATCCTTTACTACCGAATATAACATGGTGCCAGGTGTGGTAGGAATGGTCTCAATCTTCTGAATACAGAATACAGTTCTGAAACCATTCAGTACAGAACCACGAATAGCTTTATAATTCGGTGAAGTAAGGTTAGAGACGACGACCATGAATGCCGACGACCTAAACAGGATATTAACAGAGCAAGTCAAAGCCCTACAGAACTTAAATCAACAAATGGTTCAAGTCCAGTCGAAACTAAACATTAGGAACGGAGAAGGTTTAGTAACGCAATTACCTAACCTCCAAGCGAACGTACCGTGGCCTCAACCACTTGATGTAGACAAAGGTGACGTCAGAGAAAATTTTGAGTTTTTCAAGGACAATTGGAATAACTATGCAATTGCTACTGGAATGTCGGCATGGCCAGATACACAAGAGAAACAAAAAATCAGCATCCTACTAGCTGCGATTGGAGTACAGGCGATGAAGAAATATCTCAATTTCCAGCTAACAGAAGAGGAAAAAGATACCACAGAAAATGTCCTGAGAATCATCGAAACAAGACTCACAACAGCTAGCAAAAATGTTATCTATGACAGGTATCTTTTCAACACCGCAGTCCAACAACAGGACGAAACCTTCGACAACTACTTAATCAGACTAAAAAAACTGATTAAGAACTCTACGGAAACTTGTAGAGTACACGAGATTACAGAAAAGCAAGTTAATTCTATGCAAGCGGACGAGAAGGTAATATCGACGGTGAACAAAATAAATAAGGACAGAAGCACTACGAACAAGTCCAAATTATGTCGATACTGCGGTAGCGCACATGTATTCGTGAAAGGCGCGTGTCCAGCATTTGGTAAGACATGCAAGTTCTGCAAAAAGAAAAACCATACGGAGAAAGTCTGTCACATGAAAAAACGGAATAATCCCAAAGGTAACCAGATCAACAAACTTGACTTGAGAGAGGAAAGTCATGTTTCGGAGGACTCGAGTAGCAGCGACTCGGAAGCTGGGCCGATCCAGATAAAAAAAGTATGCATCACTGACTCAGATGGCTCGTTGGTTGCAAATCTGTGGTTCCGCATCAACAAGAAGTGGAAAAAGATAGCTTGCGAGTTGGATACACGAGCGAGGTCATGCGTTATGGGCTACAAATATTACTGTAGCATCGTACCCGAGCCTCACAGAGAAATGCAGCAACCCTCATGTCTTCTAATGGATTTTGGAAAACACAACATCAAGGTGCTAGGAGAAGTCAGTCTTAAGTGTGTACATAAAGGAAAAAAATATCGAATAAAATTCCGAGTTGTGGATGAAGACTGTGGCCCACTCCTCTCAGTTCACACTTGCATGGATTTAAAGCTCATAAAAGTTTGCAATTCAGTCCAAATGCAGAGTTTAAAGATAAATAACTGTGCAGAAACAGAAGAAATTGTCAAGAGGTACCAAGACGTCTTCCAGGGATACGGCCTGCTACCAGGGACTACACAACTGGAGATCGACGAGAACATAGAGCCAGTGATTCAGAAGCCACGAAGAATCCCTATGAGCTATCGGAATGATCTGAAAGAAGAGTTGACACGTTTGGAAAAGAAAGGAATAATCGTTAAAGAAGAACAACATACGGATTGGGTGAGTAATATTCTACTAGTTAAAAAACCAAAATCTTTTAGAATTTGCTTAGATCCAATACCGTTAAATAAAGCATTGCAGAGGCCAAATTACCAATTCACAACTCTCGATGAAGTCCTCCCAGAACTAGGAAAGGCAAAGGTTTTTAGCACAGTCGACACCAAAAAAGGATTTTGGCAAATCAAACTCTCTGAAGAAAGCAGTAAGTTAACAACGTTCTGGACACCGTATGGACGATATCGATGGCTTCGTCTACCTTTCGGAATTTCTGCGGCTCCGGAAATCTTTCAGATGAGAATCCTTGAGACAATTCATGGACTACAAGGTGTCGAGATATTGGCAGACGACATTCTCATTTATGGTCAGGGAGATAATGTGGAGTTGGCGATAAAGGATCACAATCGTAATCTGGAAAATCTCTTACAAAGATTACGTGAAAATAACTGCAAATTGAATAGATCGAAGCTAAATTTGTGTCAGACTTCTGTTAAATTTTTCGGACATGTCCTGTCCACAGAGGGTCTGAAACCGGACACTACAAAGGTCGAAGCTATAAAAAACATGCCAAACCCTAAGGACAAAAAAGGGGTTGAAAGATTTGTCGGTTTAGTAAACTATCTCGGCAGATATCTACCTAATCTAAGCTCCGAGCTACATCGGCTACGAGAACTAACAATGCAGCGTACACCTTGGATTTGGACTGAGGTTGAACAAAAAGAGTTCAATAAAATCAAAGAGATGGTCGCAAATATCGTCACACTTAAGTACTTTGATGTAAACAAACCAGTTACAATACAGTGCGACAGTAGCAGTCATGGTCTAGGAGCAATACTTTTGCAGGACGATGAAGTAATCATGTTTGCATCCAGATCTCTAACAAAAGCAGAAAAGAACTACGCTATGATTGAAAAGGAGCTGCTAGCAGCTACTTTTGCGTGTACTAGATTCGACCAATACATAGCCGGTAAATCAGGGACTATCATCAAGACGGACCATAAGCCTCTCGTCAACATATCGAAAAAATCTCGTCTGAAAGCACCTAAGAGGCTCCAACTGATGTTTATGTACTTACAACGCTACGATTTGGAATTCCAATTTTTAGAAGGAAAAAAGAACGTCGTAGCCGATGCTCTTTCTCGTGCACCGGTCAATACAGAAGATCAGAATGTAGATAGGGTTAGGAACCACGAAGAGAAACTGTTTAAACAAATAGGGTGTGTCAACGTTATACAATGCCTTAACATTACAGACGAAGTCATCAACGAGATTAGAAAGGAAACGATCAAAGATGCATTTGGCGCAAAGAGTTGAGTTTTGCGGCGTTTTAAAGATTTTTTTTTGTAATATTTTTATTTATTTTTTTATTACATTTTTTTACATTTTTTATTCTGGTTATTACAATTTTTTCCTCCTCTTCTTTTGGTCTGCGTGGCTGCTTCCTTTTGGCGTAGCTCTGTCTGAGTTGCGGCCTCTTTCCTTGGACTCGCTGGTAATGGAGAGAGAAGGTCTGGGAAGTCCAGGAAATCTTCAATACCCTCGAGGATCTCTGGCGTTCCTGGACGAGTCCTCTTAGTCGGCAAGAAGGTGTCTTTTTCTAGAAAGATGTCTGGTTCCTGGCGGCCAGCGCCCTGCGGGGTCGGTATTTGACGACTAGCGCCTGGAGGCGGCGAAGCGCCTGATGCTTGGCGACTAGCGCCTGGAGGCGGCGGAGCGCCCGATGCTTGGCGACTAGCGCCTGGTGTTTGGCGTCTAGCGCCTGGAGGCGGCGGAGCGCCCGATGCTTGGCGACTAGCGCCTTTAGGCGGCGAAGCGCCCGATGCTTGGCGACTAGCGCCTTTAGGCGGCGAAGCGCCCGATGCTTGGCGACTAGCGCCTTTAGGCGGCGAAGCGCCCGATGCTTGGCGACTAGCGCCTTAAGGCGGCGAAGCGCCCGATGCTTGGCGACTAGCGCCTGGTGTTTGGCGGCCAGCGCCTTGTGGCGATGAAGCGCCTGTGGTTGGGCGGCCAGCGCCTTGGTCCTGGCGACCAGCGCCAGTTACCTCGTCGCTCAAGGACCTTTTCTTAGTGGAAAGTTTCCTTGGGCGAGTTGGTCTACGGAAGACTATTTCCTCTTCAGAAGGAAGAAGAATTATGCTTCTCTTGGAAGTCGTGATTGGTTTTCTCAGGACTCCCTGTATGCTTGAGGAATTATTTTTTTTCCTGGAAATCCGTCGTCGATGGCCCTCCTTATATCCTATTCTTCAACGGATGTTAAATGCGAGTTTCCTCGAAAATTAATTTCCCTCTAGCGGATTAATTTATTAATTTATATATGTTGCTAAGCAACTCCTTTGGGTAATCAATTTTTTCATTCTGTCAGTAATGTGACAGTTTTTAAGGGTGGCTGTCACAACTGCCACAATGCATCTCTGCAAGTGTTAAAGAAGTACATACAGGGAGGATGGCCTAGATACATTCACGATGTCCCAGATGAAATCAAGATTTATTTCAAATTCAAAAGCGAACTATCGCTGCAAGACGACATGATAGTGAGAAACGATAGAATCGTCATCCCTCGGAGTTTACGTTCAACTATGCTAAAAAAAGTTCACGCGGCACACGGTGGAATAGAAGCTACTATGAAATTGGCTCGCGAAAACATTTTCTGGCCAGGAATGAATGGAGCCATCAGAGACAACGTGAAGGAATGCGACATCTGCTTAGAATTTGCAGACAAACAATCGAATCCTCCTATGCAAACACATGAAGTACCTTCGGCTCGATTTCAGACTGTCTCCATGGACCTGTTGTCAGCTACACATAAAGGGAAGAAAAGAAACTTCGTGGTCACGTCAGATCATTTTTCAGATTTTTTCGAATTGGACATAGTCAAAGATCTTTCAGCAAAATCACTCGTTGCTGTCACGAAGCAAAACTTTGCTAGACACGGAATACCGACTAAGATCGTCAGTGACAACGGTACCAATTTTGATTCCTCCGAGTTTCGGCAGTTTGCAAGATCCTGGGGAGTTCTACACGTGACATCATCTCCGCATCATCAACAGGGCAACGGCAAAGCGAAGTCTGCAGTAAAAATTGCCAAGAAAATTATTAAAAAATGCGAGAAAAGTGGAGAAGATCTTTGGTACGCCATCCTACATTGGAGAAATACCCCGAACAAAATGGACTCGAGCCCGGTTCAACGGCTTTTCTCACGAAGGACGAGATGTGGTATTCCAACTTTACAGTCCAATCTGCAGCCAAGGATAATAGAAGGAGTTCAAGAAAAGATTTCGTCAAGCAAACTACGAAGCAAGTACTACTACGACAGAACAGCACGAAAGCTGCCAGAGCTGCAAGTGGGTCAACCAGTAATGGTTCAGTTAAAACCAGAGGAGAATCATTGGTCCAAAGGTAAAATCGATCATAGGATCTCGGACCGCGCATACATGGTAAATGTGAAGGATGCACTTTACCGAAGAAGTGCCGTACATATAAAGCCTCGACACGATAGTAGTCGGCGTCAACACCCCTCAAAGGCGGAGGATGCAGCGATTTATTCCACAATATCAGAGCCGTCTACAAATACAACAGAGGTACAGTCGTCACGCAAATCGGTGACTACTACAGCTCCAAAATCAATTAGTCAGGACGATAGCGAGCTTATGGGCATCTCTTCGTCACCCAACAAGAGCAGTGTCAGACCTAGTGCGGAAAAGACTGTTAAAAATACAAGCAGCGACGACCACAAGGAATCAACAGTCGGGAAGACTGTTAAAGACACAAACGTCGACATTCCCAAGGAATCAGCAGTAGATGTTCCAACGAGTAATGCAGTCATCAACACGCCAACAAGTACGGGAAAAGCACGTCCAAGAAGGAACGTGAAGCCTCCAGCTCGATTTGCCGACTACGTTACAAACTTATAATTCCAGAATCAGTCAAATAATGTTTAAGTCATATATATTCATATCCATCCAATATTGTTGTTTTAAAAGAAGGAACGTGAAGCCTCCAGCTCGATTTGCCGACTACGTTACAAATTTACAATTCCAGAATCAATCAAATATTATTTAAGTTATATATGTTCATATCTATCCAATATTGTTATTTTAAAAGAAAAAAAAAGAGAGAACATGTTATAGAGAGGTTTGATTAGAGAGGTTGGCAGCACCGCGCAGGCACGCAGGCAGCCGGCAGGCTGATGTGTGTGAACTCACTGTAACGCACGTACTAATAAATAGCTCTTCTGATATAAAATAGATATCCTTTACTACCGAATATAACAGTGATATTACCCCTTAAGGCAACCAGGTATCGTCACTGCTGCAACAATGTCATTTAACAATTGCTCTGTGGTTATAACAACCAGATAATTAGTTGTTCCATATTTTACTATTTAATCTGGTTGACACAACCAGAATTCTGTTTGTGACAACTATATTGTTTTTTCCGTGTATGCTTCAGCACGTTTGGCTATCTGGGCAATCGATAGATTGGGTTCGATTTGTCTTCCGTAAGAAACTGATAGGATACGTATTCGCATTTGCACACTCAAAAAAAAGAATTACTGCAATAGCCAATTTTTATTGGCTCTATAAAAGTTTTCTGCTGCAACCATTTAATTTTTGAAGCAGTAAATTGCAATGTGAATCTATGATTTCAGATAGACCAATACAACCAACTTTTAAAGCTAGTAAGTAATTGGCTGCATTAGGCAATTTCTTAGCTGTGGTAGCGTTACCAAGTAGGTTGATAAGACAGTTGGCCGGGCTAGTCAACTCTTTGTCGTGCAAGATAGCACTAGTACCACATACTGCCACGACGTGGCGACCGCGCGTTAGTTTCTTTCTCGTAAGTAAAAAATGTCCCGTATTAGTATAAAAGGCGAGCCGATATGATGCGAAAGCGAATTGTCTGGATCATGGATAAACCTTAATAACCTAAATATACTTTTGATGACTGTGTAATTTAACACAATTTAATGCATTAAGAGGATGCTAAAGTCATCTGTTTTACCGACACATTCGAATATAGTTTTTGCGCTGCTGAATCTTTTTATTAGTTTTTACGCCTAAAATAATACCAGGATAAGTTGCGGACCGCATAGCAGAACGTACGTTTTTATACTTGAAACACTCGGGTGAGAAGTCTAATGAGAAAGATATTGGTATTTGAAATTTTCAATTTTTTAATCGTGAGCAATTTGAATTTGGCTTTATAAAATTACAAAATTCTTCCACGCGATTACAGTACGCGTAAAAACAAAACGGGGGGTTCACAACTTTATATAAAAAACAAAGAGAAATTAAAAATATCAACATGTGAAGCCTAACCACAATTACTTATAAAGCGATATTTTTAATTTCTCTTAAATATATCGATGAAGGGAGCCAGCCCTGATGACCTTGACCTTGACATACGTTGTCAAGGTCGCCCTCCTGAGTGACCTTGAAGAGGTTTTAGCCGTCGCTCGTAGCTCGTTAAAAAGATATTAAAAAACAATGTCGACCAATTCTATGTAATTTTCAGACACAAATATTAAAAATTTTGAAAAATATTTTAAACAAAAGTTGTTGATCAATTTAAAAAATTACATTTTACGTTTTATTAATTTTTACTGTACAAGAAATAGTTTTCGAGAAAAATGATGGACTCTAAATTTTATATCTTTCCTCCTATCTAAGCATGTACCTTACAGTATTGTACATATACGATTTCACATGGGTTTGCAACTTTCCACGTGAAGTTGCTCGTGTGTTTAGCACGGCGCGCTGCGCGCGCCCCACCCCCCTTCCCCCATCGCCCCCCCGCCACACCCCCTCCTTC